CCCTAACCCGCCCCCTCTAGCACCATGCGACCTTACCTGGTATGCTGGCTAGTGGCCACGGCAAAAAGGGCGGGACGGTAGGGCGACATCGATCGCGACATGCGCGTACCTAAGGAATTGTAACCTCCGCAAATTTTGTGCTACCCTCCATTTCTTCCTTCTCAATTGAGCCTCCTCCTAATACATTGTCGTCTCCGACGTGCTACATTTTTCTTTTTTTCTGGAAGCACATGTTTGCACATGAGTTACACAGGTCTTAAAAAAAGGCTGAGCGGTTTCGTAGAACCAGGACAGAATAGGTCTGTGGGGAGGGCAGTGCCATTTTCTGCAGATTATATGTCGTAAAAAAAATAAGATCTTATATTAATCACACTATTGCCCGAAAAAATAAAAGTTATGGCGATCTGTTTGCGATAGTTTCCATATCCTCGCCTCCTTCCCCCTTTTCTCACCCGCGCCGACGACTCCCGTCTGTAATGGCTTGTCAGGCCAGCGTAGCTAGCAGCCAACCCGACCAGCGACACCTGAGACTCATCGCCGCGTCCGCCCAGGCCAACAAGGCCAGGGTACGCGACATCCTAGCCGAGGAGCCCCCCTGGACCTCCGGTGCCGACCACGATGCCCTCCGCGCCGCCCTGCAGAAAGTTGCGGCCCGCGGCAAGCTGTCCCTCGTCCGACTCCTCCTCGACCACGGCGCCGAAGTAAACCCCAGACGAGACAACGAAGCACCCCCGCTGGTAAAGGCGGCCGAGGCGGGACAGGTCGATATCGTGGCCGAGCTGCTGAAGCGCGATGCCGATCCGAATGGCCGCAATCGCAACGGGCAGACCGCCCTGTTTAGCGCGTGTATGAAGGGACATAATAAAGTGGTCGAGACCTTATTAAGTGGACACGCGAACGTCGAGGCGCAAGATAAGGAGGGACGGTCGCCTTTGCTGTTCTTAGCCTCAGAGAAGCCCGGGAAGGGAAAATGGACCATCGAGACCCTGAAGTTGCTTCTCAGCCACGGAGCGAACCTCGAAGTGAAGGATCAGATTGGCCGGACACCTTTGCTATGGGCCGCGACCAATGGGAACATCGATCTCGTCCGGATCCTCTTGGAGAACCGTGCCGACATTACGGCCACGAATAATCGCGGGCGGACTGCTCTACACCTCGTCGCTGAGAGTAATCATAGAGACCAGCATGAGAGAATGGTCCAGCTGCTCCTTGGCCACGGAGCTGACTCGTGTGCCGTGAGCGATGGCGGCTGGACCCCGCTTCACAACGCTGCGCAATGTGGTTATGCGCCCGTTGTGACGCTGCTCCTAGACGCCGACGCATTCGTCAATGCTGAGCTCACCAATGGAATGACGCCTCTACACTGGGCTGCTTTTAACGGATTTGGGGATATCGTGAAGCTTATACTGACTAGGCCCGACGTCGACTTGTCGATCAAGGATAGCTTCAATCGCACGCCTATGCTCTGCGCCGCCGAGAAGAACCATCCCGAGATCGTTCAGCTCCTGTCTCCGGCAAGAACTGCTGATCGCCTATCACCAGTAGCACGAGAAGCGTGTCGATCTTTCGAAGCTACCATCGTTGACTTTGGCCAATTCGAAAAGAAGCAGCTCGTCTCCAAACATTCCGTGTTTGATCTCTTATACGGATGGGACCAAGAAAACGACAAGCCTAAGGTCCCTACGTTGACAAAGAATATCAAGTATAAACCGGACTTCAGGTGGATCCATCTTCCCGCCAATAATGTATACAATTTGACCGAGCTCTTCCCGTTCCCTATGGACAGATGGACTAACGTTTCGTGATAGATTGCATGGGTCGAGGTATTTTCCACTCACTTGTTCACTGCGTAGCGCCTTTCGTAAAAACTCATCATTTTGCCAGACTCTTCTCGCTAAGTCCTTCATCGAGGCGGGGCACCGAGACATCGAGGCCTTCAAGGCGCTGGAAAAATGTTTCGACCAAGAACACCGTGGTGATCTGGCACACGCTCATTTCATGAGGACTTTTTGTCACCGCATACCCTCGGCGCGGGCTGGCATTGCAGAAAGGAAAGACGAAAAATCGTTCCTGGATTCCCTATCCGAGGAACCATCAGATGCCGGCGCGAGGTCAGGCCAAAATGGAGGCGCCGGCGGAGACTCAACTCCGAGGAAAATGAATGACTCCTTTGAGGACGATACGCCTACCAAGAAGAAAAGCAAGGCCGAGCAGCTTGCCGAGAGGCATCCCAAACGACATAAGCGAGCCAAGGGTCCACCCGGCAATCCACCGCAGAGACAGGAGAGTACTGCGAGTGCTCTGAGCTACAAATCCTTGGGTCCTCTTGCCTGGGAGACACCGAAGTCTGCGGCTTCGAGTGGGAAGATAGTCCTATTTGTAAGAGCCCCATGCCTTACGCCGACTTAGCCAAGTGAAAACTGATATCCGAAGATGCCTTTCCTGCACTACGAAACAGACGAGCGGCGGCACAAGTTGAGCAGCGCCATCAAAGACGTGCGCAATGGCAGACATGTCACGAACAGTCAATCTCGCGACTCGCTAATCGTCAACGCATATCTAAAAAGCAACCCGCCGCTGCATCCCCGGAGGACCCTCGACCAGTTCTTCTACCATGGAATTGATACGTCTGCCAGAGACACGGACCAAGTTGTGTATCGGTACTGCAAGGAGAATAATGACGAGCCCAAGGTATTCATGGTCGATCAACTTTGGCTTTGGATCATTGGGAAAGGTATTGTCGCTCCGCTCTGGGACGCTAGGTGATGGCATAGCTAATCTTGTTGCTTAGATCTCATTATTACTTCCTTTCCGCAACGTTGGGATCAGCCTAAGCAGGACCCGATGAATGTTCTCGATGGCATCATTGAGGAGACGAACGCGAAGACCCGACCGCCTATTGGATCTGTGTGGTATGTATAAACTTCTATTTACCGGGAACTATTTTTCTAAGCTAATACGATGTCTAGTACGTAATGGTATCCCGTTTCACCTGGGGTTTCTAGATATAAGCCTCCTTTGCCGGGCTGTGGTTATGGGAAACAACACATTTCATTTTCTCTATGATACTAACACATACTAGACGACCTAGCGATGCTTATTACCAGTCAATGCTCCGGGATGTTCGATCGACATCGACTCCACGACCAACGATTCCAATTTTTAGATATGTTCGACCAGTCCATCGGCGTCGTCACGGATAGGGAAAGTCAGCTATTCCGGCGTTTCAACCAAGCCTCGTCGCGATCAGCCCAGTGGCTCCAAAACCACCGTTACAGACGCGGCATGGGCCGACCAGTGCGGCTCCCGGCCTTCGGAACCCCGGAAACCCTCGAGGGCGCCGGCATGGATCAATTTCCTGACGCGCTCCTGGACATCGGCGTCGAGACCACGCTGCTGGCAGAGATCAAGGACATCCGGGACGAGCTAAACATCATCGGCGTGATCCTAGACGCGCAAATCGCAACACTAGAAGACTTTGAGGACCAGCTGGCGGATGAGCTGCGGGGGGACGGGCCGAAGCACAGCAACAACGTGGCGGTGGTCGAGATCCGGAAGCGCGGCCGCGAGCAGCTGCGCGGGCTCGAGGTGCGGCAGAAGGACATCCTGCGCATGGACAACGTACGTATGAAAACATGTGGTGTCGGCTTTTTTTTTCTCCTTACATCCCAGAATCCTTGAGTATTCCAAGGTGAATCCTTTCTCGAAGCTTTCAGATATATTCAGCTAAGCCTCGATGGCACTAAGCATCCCCTATGGAGCCTCTGACACCCTCTCGAAACTCCTTTAGCCTTCCTTCATAAGTTATAGAACATTAGAGAAAAAAATGGCTAACATGACATGATTCCATACACGCAGCAGGCGCAGTCGCTGTACATGAACCTAACGGACCTGCTGGACCTGAAGCAAAAACATTCCAACGCGCTGGAGGCCCGGTTCGCCGGCGACCAGGCCGTCATCGCCGCCAAGCAGGGGCAGACGATCATGGTGTTTACGATCGTGACCATCATCTTCCTGCCCATGAGCTTCATCGCCGCGTTCTTCGCGATCAACCTGCAGGAGTGGGCCGACGGCAGGCTGACGATCGCGTACGTGAGCAAGTACATGTTTGGGATCGGCCTGGGGATCAGTATACCCCTGATCGCGATGGCGTTCGCCGTCACGGACCTGTCGGATGCGGCGCGCGAGCTGATGACGGGGCGCTGGCTTTCGAAGTGGAAGAGTCGAGGGCATGGCTCCTCGAATTATAATAACAATAATAATAGCTACAAGTACACCGGGGAAAGCGATACGCTAGGAAAAGAAACCACCTCCCAGGTCATACCGATGAAGACTTCGATGTCCACGCACCGGCGTTCGGGCGTCAGCAGGGACCGCCAGGTCGATGGGCTGCTGCCGCCGCGGATACGACCGATCTACAGCCAGGAGAGGAGCGACGACCACTACGCCGCCGCGCGGCTCTCGCCCGTGTCCGCGCACCGCGGGTCCGGCGCCGGCGGCGGCGGTGGCGGGCCGCACAAGATCAGCTTCGGGAGCGCGAACGCGACGGCGTGGGCAAGGCCGAGCCTGGATAGAAATCGCGGGAGGAGGCTAAGCGAGGACCTGGAGAAGGGGAGGCGGCGGCCGTATGCGTGAAGGAGATGGCGGTATTGATCGAGTGGGGGAAGCTACCTATCCGGGGCGCTTATTACGCATTCGTACCCCTAAGCATAGGTGCGAAGCTGATAGGTAGGAGGTATATATTAGATCATATCAAATTCTGTAATATCGAAGAAATAACTGATGACAACGAGACATCTGTGCTCAACAGGTAAGAGCGTCAGATGAGAGTCTTAAGGTTCCGGATTCGAATCCCGGCGTGTGCCGATCATTCTTTTTATTCGGACCTCTTAGACTCATGCATACGTGTGATGCAATTCACGTATATTCGATCATACCAATCTCTCTGGTACTCCCGATACCTGGCGAAACTGGAGATCCTTCCTGTCTTCCCTCTAGAGAAACATGTAGCTCAACTGGCAAGAGCTTGAGACTCACATCTCAAGGCTCCGGGTTCGAGTCCCGGCGTGTAAGTACTCAACTCTTTTTTTGTTGAGCCTATGTGACCAACGTATAATATAAGGAATTATACAGTTTCTCTGGTATCCTAACGAGCCAGACGAGAAGCGAATGTACTCTCTCTCCTATCTCTCATGAGGCACATGTAGCTCAGCTGGCAAGAGCATGGGATGCTGGTCCCAAGGTTCTGGGTTCGAGTCCCAGCGTGTAGGCACTTTACTTCTTTTTGGTTTGTCCCTATTGGACTAATGCGTGATATGATAGATTATACCAAATTTTCGGGTATCCAACGAGCCTGAGAACACATCTTTTCCTCGGTCTCCTTACGAGACACACGTAGCTCATCTGGCAAGAGCATGAGACGCTAGCCTCAAGGTTTCAGGTTCGAATCCCGGCGTGTGCTTGAAAATCTTTTTCTATAAATCGAGGTATATAGCTACCTAGCAAACAGGGTACACATCTTTCCATTATCTCTTAGGAGATACGCAGTCGACATCTTTAAGTTGGCCGATCAGCCTGAATCCGATACGTGTCCTTGGCCGTCTCTACAATCCACCGACTAGCAGTCACTTCCATAGACTCGTTCATTGCTTTCTTAATCAGATCCGCCCCGACCTTCTTGTCGGCCACCACGTTCACATGCGAATACGTATATCGGTTCGGTTTGACGCCAATCTGGGCTTGGACGTTGACGAACGGCACCTGCACGATATTGGGCTTCTTGCCTATGGGCACGTTGATGACGCCCTATTATGTTTAATCGTCTCAGTGTCACGGTAGTGTATCCCACACTGCATGGGAGCGAGAATATCTTACCTGACGGTCAATTGTTGCTGTTTTCAAGTTAACCCCCTTTACGCCTTTAAGTTCGGGACTCCTGGCGATGTCGTTCTTGCTTATGCTGACAAGCTGAGGGTGACCTCCTTTGGAGGGCAGCATGTCCTCCTGGAACCCGCTCCTGGAGTCGGTGATCATCCAGGTGACCACGATACGCTGGTCCTCGTTGGGCTTGGTGATGTTGTCTTTAATAGCGGTATCCATGGTTTGCTTGTGTTCGATGGTTGCAGGATAGAACTTATTCACCAGAGAAGGCTCAGGATGCCAGAGCTGGGCAGATGCGCCCTTTAAATGCAGCTACGCTCCCGTCACATCCTGCCTACGTACCTACCTAGGTACCTAATTGTCATTGTCATCACGCTCACAGCCACTCAAAAGACTGCATATCCGTCTCGATGTCCCATCACACAGCGTTGCAGGTTCTTGTTTACCACCAGAGCAACTTCCACCCTATCGCATGTCCAGAAACTAGCGAGCATGGCCGATGTGTCCCCGGGAGGTAGTGATACAGTGTAACTTTAATAAACGGAAGAATCTAGTATCTGGCTCTAAGCGGTATCGATGGGGTAACTTATGAATTACTTTGTGTATCGTGTATCGTAACTCGGCCAGATTGCACACGGGCCTCGCGCAAGGATCCCGAGCTTTGAGACGTTCCTTCGGTACATTAGGTAGCGCCCCTCACTCAGATACGTAGCCTCAGGGAATTTCACGAAGAAGTGTCACCCCGTGCACATTGGCGACGAATCCAACGGCGGTAGATATGAAGTAATTGCCAAGTTGGGATATGGGGCTTCTTCTACAGTCTGGCTGGCTCAAAACCTGTAGTAAGTGAGCTTCAAATCCCTGATTACCTAGGTTACCTCATCTGTAGGAACTAGCGGCATGTCGCATTGAAGATCCTCACGGAAGACTCCTACGGGGGCAAGAAGGACACGTTTGAGCTTGATATACTAAGCCACATGACATCGAGTAAAACCCAGGCTTCAGGCACAGCTTCTGGGTTCAATCGGATCCTGGGGTTATTGGATAAATCTCAGCACTCTGGCCCCAACGGCAAACATGTCTGCCTCGTTTTCATAGCGATGGGCCCAACCATATATACCTAACTATATACCAGACGCTCTTTCCACGCTTAAGAGTACCGGTCCCTCTAGTCAAACATATCGCCCGAAAGTTACTACAGGCCCTCGCCTTTCTTTATGATATCTGTCATACCATTCATACCGGTAAACGCCCCTCCCCAATATGTGCCGGACCTTCAGATAACCGACCACAATATATCTTGGTCGAGACGCCAGATATAATTGAGTTGTCTGAATGCGCGCCGACCGAGTCCTTCCTCGGGAATGACCCCCAATCAATCCACCAGGGAACTTTTATATGGAATCACAACCATTCATGTCCGGTGAAGAAGATCTGAGCGAGGTCAAGGACATTTCTATCAGAATGGCAGACTTTGGGGTGGGTAAGTAGTATTAGAGGGATTAAATTAGATTTCCCAGATGCTAACCCTTCGGCCAGCAAGTTGGTTTGGAACGCATCTTACGGAACGGATCTAGCCGCCGATGCTTCGGGCCTCGAGGTCATGCTGGGCGCTGAGTGGGATCATAAAGCATTTGGAACTTGGGACTTATTGTACGTTGGCAACGTGGGTCTCCATATAACCAAATCTGAGATTGTGGACTGGGAGTTGTCATATCTATCACAGGTATGGCAGTTAGCCCACGGGCAACCCTGTATCGACATCGGCGGGACCCCTTATTCTTCCGAATCCCACTTGGCTTTAATCGAATTAAAATTAAAATTAGGTCAATGTTCGGACTCACTTATCAAGAGATCGAAACGGCGTCGCAAGTTTGTCAACCCGCGAGGTATGGCTCCTGTGGATCTGAATACCACACCTTTCTAACCAGCGTCCACAACCGCAGACCACCGTCTCAGCTATAAACAAAACCCACGCATCTCTCTCAAGGGGCCGAGCAGCAGCAATATTATCGATGGCCAGGAGTTAGACGACTTCATCGATTTCATTTAGAAAACATTGACTTTGGAGCCTCGGGGGCGGCCCAACACCCACGAACTTTTAAAAGCCGAGTGGCTTTAGGACACCACGGGTAAGCAATATAAAAAGAGGAGATGAAAAAGAAAAAAAAACCACACGTTTGCGCAGAATCAGATCTTGAAGCACACTTCCCTACCTAGGTAGATACCCAATTGTATGGGAGAATCATACGGGATAATTTCATTACTTGGGGGGGTCAACACGAGCATAAGAGTTGCTCTGCCCATAGATCTTAAACAGCAAACTTATAATAGTAATCATAAGGTAGCCGAAGCTGGTTACACTGTTTTTTCTTTAAGTTCAACGATTCTAGCCTCTGTCGCCGTCTTATAGATTACGAAGAAAAGGTTGGCCATCCTACTGGGATAGTCGCTCTACATATGGGGCGAGTGTTGGCCCTTACCTTAGGTACTGCGTAGAGAAAAATAGCGGGGTCTGTATGCGGGTGGTCAAAATGTGCACACGACTTTGTTGTTAGCTCAAGAAGTTGTCTAAAGTCTCTGTGCCAAAAGGGCATAGCTCATGAAGAAGTTTGTAATGAATAAGAGTCTATGCGATATGACAGGAGCAAAAGAAACGACAAGTAGATACAAAGAAAAAGGAAAAATTGCATCAGCCGCGAATCGAACGCGGGGCCCATCGATGGCAACGATGGATTTTACCACTAAACCACTGATGCTTTGAACGAAGCGTTCTGCGCAATATACGGAGAGCTGTCTAAGTTATATATACCAAGGTCAAAGCTCTCTCCATTGATTGGTCATTAAATCGACCGCCCCACTTGAATAACACCACATTCTACCACCAAACAGCATTACAGCTGCTTATCACCAAGAATAACTCGGTTTCTCTACAGACTTACCCATCATGGCGGAAAGCCGTGACGCAACTACATCCGTATCTCCTATGCCACCACAGCCCCTGCCGTCGCCGCCTCGGTCATCATCCTCACCCTCACCCACCTCAACGTACGTGAAACCGCAACCGCGGCCCCCGAAGTCTCCGGCGCACTCGGCCCAGATCCGGGTCCAGAACCGGCGCCGCGAGTATCTAGAGCGGAATCCCAAGTATTTCGACTCGCTCGAGCACGAGCTTGCTGGTGTGTATTCTCATATCGCCATGTACCCTTCCCTGCCTACCACGGACTCAATTACAGCTCATCACCCTTTCCCTTGCTACCAGGCGACTGAAAACTATTAGACCCCCTTCTCTACGATGCGCTCGTACGGCGCTTCCAATCCTCCGAGGAGCGCGAGAAGGAAGGCCGCACCAAGGGGTACTCGCGCGTGCTCGAAGTAGACCTCATACGCGGCGAGGCCAAGCTAGCGCAGCTCACATCTGCGTCTACGTCGGAGTCGCAGTCGCAGTCGCAAGACGCGCCATCGTCGGCGACAGCGCCCTGGCTTCCCAGGTCCGCGACCACAGACGCAGATGCGTTTATCCGGGAATACGCCAGCGGCACGGACGGTCTAGGCGATGACGGTAACGGCAACCCCAGCACTAGCGGGGCTTCGAGCGGCGTCAAGGGTTTACCCCGGAAGCCGGAGTCGAAGGAAGAGGGGCGCGAGCGGTGGGACGATTTTCTAAGGCGCCGGTTCGTGCTGGGGCGCGATGAAGATTTTGACTACCGCGGCGTGGATGAGAATGATGATCTCGACGTGATGGAGCGGCGCGAGCAGGAGGACGCGTGGTTCGATGACGAGGATCCCGACTGGGCCAGCGATTCGGCCGGGGACCAGGCAAACCAAGCAAGTAACGAAAAGCAGCGCGAAAAGAAGCTCGAGGGCGAGACAGGTATCCAGGATTTTTGAAAATGCTGGTCTACCAAGTGGAATGGCCACTCCTACCCGGATACCTCAGGTACGCATCCGGGCCCTAGGTCAATTCTTTTATTCGGCCATCTCGAGAACACAGGTCGACTAACAGCAAAAAGCCAGTACGAGGTCAAGAGCTACGCCGGGCGATTACACTCAATCAAAAGTAATTGATTCTTTACACACTTATTGGGCCTACAGTCTAAATTGCCTATCCACTTAGTCTAGCTCAGGTACAGGCAAGTGGTCAACGAGCTTCATGCGCAGTCCTAACTCCGCCAGGGCCTTCATCGCGTTCTCGTCTCGCAAATTTTCCGTCTCTTCCTTGGTCGTCAACACGAAATCATGTTTCAGCAACCAGTCGCCCTCTTTAACGCCGTATTCTTTCGCTGTTGCCGCGTCGACCTTGTCCAGACCCACGATCAAACTTTTCTTGACGCCGAATACGGCGTCCGACGTCTCGTACGGGTCTCCTCGCATATACAGCGCGCTTTATCACGGGACTGGGTTAGCTTGTGCTTCACGGCGTGGGGAAACAATCACACGGTGAAATCAACTCACGTAACCAGATGATCCCAGCTCTCCTTTTCAAACATGAAATGCAAGTGTGCGGGTCTCCAGGGATGCCTGCCCAACCTCTCCAGCAGCTTTCCAACTGGCCCGTCGTGGGGGATGGGATAGCTCACG